CACATCCCTGCTTTTTAATATAAACCAAGCAACCACATTATTCTTCTGACTTGTGATTTCCTCATTATACGGATTTAATTTTTTATGCCTAACCATTAGCTGGATTCTACAAGGGAAAGGCACTGGCTGGTTACATTGCTAACCACAAGTGTAAATCTGCTGTGTGTGAAGGAGAGAGACAGAGTCAGGCAGGGTGAACATGAGTATGTATGAGCACCTGATGTTTTTTTCTGACACTGTTCCACATCATTAGTTGGAAGCTTGCTAGGCACCATACCCTTACATCTCTGTTCATCCTACCTACCCCACTTCTCTTTCAAAGTTTCTTCCTCTTTAGTACATGCAATTTTGAATTTTTAGAGCTGTTTAGCTGATTCTCAGCAGAAGAGGCTGGGGCAAAGACTGTATGCCTTTTTACACATTTATTTTATGGGAGATTACAAGGCTGATTAACAGTTCTCAGAATAAAAAGTGTCCCCTGTTACCTCCATTCTTGTCTATTTACTGCGTTTGATCTATTCATGCCAAAACATTCTTACTAATGAAAGTCATCAGAAAATTGTCTAATAAGGTAGTTTAGAAGACAGTTCACATTGAGCATATGATCAAAAGGCATTTAACTTGCTGTTCCTGCCTCCTCTCCCCCAATAAACACATGGTTTACTGGCACTGCTATGCTTCAAAATGGTTTTGAACATCTGGGAGAAGGGCTGATCAGCTCCAGACAATCGCTGGACTCTAAGCAGACCCAGGAACAAAGGTCATGATAAATGAAATGACTGTTTTGTCTCCAAAATTGCCTCAATCTTCCCCAGACAAAGCGTGATTGAAAAGCATCTATCTGTGGATAGCATCTGGAGAACTCAAAATATGTTTTGATCAGAATCCGATTGGCCTCTTTCAAATGAAAATAATTTGAAGATGCCATGGAAAATTTTTAAAACCAATCACACTGTAAACTTCGGCCTAATGTTTCCTTCTGCAGCATTGACCTTGTTTTTCTACAGTGTGAAAAAAATCGATATAATAATGGTTCTGCAGTAAGATTTCAGCTTGCTCTTGGCTTACTTTAAATAACTTTATTGTCTCCTTTCCCCCTGTCTGCGTCTGCTGTATTTGGCACTTGCAGTTATTAAAATGAAACCAAGTTGAAAGAAAATGTTAAATATCATAAAAAGAAAACCAGCAGTGCTTCTGGCTCACTTTGCTAAAGCTGTGGTCACCTTTACAATTTGCCAGGGTTTTCTATTCCCCAGCTGTTCTACCTGAATTTGCATGCAGAAAGAAACCCCAACTTTCTATTGGAATAACAACTTGTACTTTGCAGATTAAAAAGAGCTGAATGTTTAAAAAAACAAGGAAAAGTCACCCTCTTCCCTCCAATTATATATTAGAACAAAAAAGCCCAATGGTTTACCAGTGATTTCAGTTCTTTGCCGCTTAACATTTTCTTACTCCTTAGTGCGCATTTCTGCACAAATGAGAGAGCCTGGTTATAGCAGTCCCACTGTTACACTCCAATCTGCACTAAGAACGAGGCTTTGAAAACCTTATAGGAAAGTACCAACTAAAGAGAAGTAAAAACATCATTCAGCCAAAATTATGCCCTTTGGTCACCTTCCACTCCCTCTGGATAAAAACCACATCCACTTGTTGTCAACCACAGCTCTGCCTTGGTCAACAGACAAGAAGAGCATTCCCAAAAGCAAAAAAGTGGGAATCACACATTCCAGGGAAAGCAACAGAAAGCCCAAATGTAGGCAGTGCTGAAAAGAAAGAAGCATGTGCTCTGCCTGGGCCTCGCGGGGGCATGGAAACCCTGTCTTGGAGCAAGAACGACCTACTCTAGTATATGCACAACACACAAACGAATAAAAAAGACATAGACTGCCTGTAGAAATTTTTTCTTCCTCCTCTTGGTTATATCATGAACACAGATTTTGCAAAGGGACAGATGAAGCTACATCTCTAACACCCTTTCAACACCACAACCCCAGAAAAAAAACCTAAATTCTTACTTTGGTAGTTGAAGCTGGAGATGAATTGGCCACCAGGCTCGTGATCACATCGCTGTTGACGGTAGTGCAAGTGGCGGTGGCCGGGGTGGGGAGCCGGGAGGGGACGATGGGCAGGGGCAGCAGCCCGGGGCGGTTGTTGCTGTTGGTGCTCGCAGCGCTGCTGCAGTTGGTGCTGCTGACGTGATTGCCGTTGGAGCTCCAGTCCCGGCGATCCCACCCAGCCCGATAATCTCTTTCAAACCGGCTGTGGTGCCGTGACATCTCGATGGAGGGCAGCTTCTTCTCAAAAGGAACTCGAGAGCTTGCCTGAAAGATTAAAACCAAAGAGGTATTAGAATAAGGTCCCAGCACAGCGATTGTACTCTATAATCACCAGGGCAAGTCCCTGCCATGCCTCCTGTGTTTTAGGAGAGCACTGTTTGTCCCCTTTTCCCAGCTAAACATCAGGAGAAAAAGAGCGATGTTTTAGTAGATGTTGATCTGGAACACAAATGAGAGCGTCTGGACAACTACAAGCATGCGGTGCAGAGACCAATCCCTCAGACCTGAGGAAACACCTTCTGCCCAAACTCTCCAGTAGAATAACAAGCAACAGCACACACATCATGAAAAGCTGAGTTAGAAGAAAATCAGCATTCAAATCTTCTAATAGCAGGAAAATGTTTCCAACAACTCTGTCTTGCAGTTTTCTCAGTAGCCTTCAGATCATTTCTGTAGCTCTTTTCTGCACCTGATGCATGACCAAATGTTAATCCTAAATATCAGAGGGAGAAAAATCTACCTGCTAAGTCTCTCCATTACTTCTCTATTTTCAAAGCCAAATATTGCTTTATGCGGCCCCTTCCCCTCCTTTGTGCTAGACCTCCTCACTGGAAGCTCCTACAGGAATGCTTCACCCTGCGATGCCTGAGCTCTCCGCAGCGTGGCTGGTCTCCAGGGCAGGCCAACATGTCCTGTCTCCTCCCGTGCTTCTGGCTAGCCTTAAAACACTTAATTTACCTCAGATGATCAAATGACCAAGCTGCTTTGTGTGATCATCCCGTCCTTATCATTACTTAGCTCCTCAGTCTTTATTATCCATAGATTTTATCTGGCAGGAGCAAGACGTCTGAACACAACTCTGGGAGTTGAGACTCCCAACATCTAATCCTACTTCTGATAATTATATGTTATGTAGCCTAGAGCAGTTACTTAAGTCTTCCTGCCAAGGTCTCCTAACCTGCAGAATGGTGGCAATAATGCTCTTTTCCCAGCAGAGTTCAGAGTAAGTGAAAGTTTACAGCATTTGGAATTGAAGACCAGTATAAATAAATGCTAAATATATTTATTCCCATAAATAAATAATGAGTATCTAGGTCACTGCAGCATCTGATTTATTTTATTTGCATCACACAATCCAGTAAGTTCTTTGTCAGTTGAAGCAATTTTGTTTCACAAATTCTTAGGTACAAAAATGGACAGTAAAAACATCTGCTTATAATGACTGAGGAGGGAGCTGGAACCGAACTCACTCAGAAACTTATAAAGATAAGAAACTACTTAAGAGAGATATAACTCAGAAGTGTTATAAAATAGTGCACCTATCAACAATGTTAGTTATTCACCTGGCAGAAATTTAAAAAAGGGCAAATAAACCCAACTATTATGACTAAATATTAAAGGTTCACCTGGTTCACCAGAGAGCTACTAGCTTGAGATGAAGAAAACTCTTCCTCAGTTAAAAATTCAATAATGTAAATGTGTATTAAAATCCCTGCAAATTCCCTCCCACAATCATTATCTTCAACAAAAGGCTGATCCAAATCTCCCAAGAAGCTGCATTTGCGAAGGTTATGTGGCCGCTCTGCAGGAGTGAGCACTTCCAGCGAGAGCATATACTGGGGACCACACAGCATTGTTGCAGATGCTGACCACAAAATTAACATTCCTCTTAATCCATTATTATTAATCTATTTTTTCTCTGGTAGGATTTGATGCAAGATTTGACTTGATGATTTGAGGGTTGAGGATTCACTGACATTTACTTAGATTCTTCTTTCTTCTATTTTTGTGGCCATCTAATACTTTAATTCAGAAAGCTCATTTCATATTTTCTAGAGGACCATGTGGAAATGACAGCTATACACTGAACACAGCAAAGACCAGAGACACAAGTGCTGTGAAAGACACGGTAGTGAAAACAGAAACTTTTGTTTTAGTAGGGGTGAAGAAAGCAAGTTTTTCCTCTAGTGGAAACCATCTCAGAATAAAATCAGTACCTAAAGATAGCGTCTTTAAAAGTTAGAAATTCCACGGGTATAAACCCCCTTCCTTTTGCTTTATAAACCTTTTGCAAAGCCAGGCAAAAAGGGAGACTGTAAACTGCAAGCTACAATTTCAAAATATCCTTTATTATTCCTTGCCTTTGGAAAAGTTTCTTTTTAAATCCGCACGGTCTCCACCACTGTATGAGGCTATCTTTTTTGACTGTTTGGATGGTGGCTGTCAAGTGAATGCCCTTCTCCTTCCAAGCTCGAGGATCTCCATTAGCTGTATTAGTGTACTTCTTGACAAGGCAACTAGAGAGAACCAAATCACATATCCCACACCCACCCACACACTTGAGTATATCTGACATTTAATTCAGCGGAGAGCAGAGGCACACATGCACATAAGTCAATAGCCAGCAGTTTTTGCCACACGATCCAAGACACCATGCCCCCAGCAATTCTGCTATCAGATGAGACTGACAGGCAATTACGTCAATAACAAGCAGAAAAGAAGCCTGTGACTAAGCCACACATTAAGAAGTTTACTTAAAACCCACCACTCTCTTCACGAGCAAATTCACTTCTTTGTCCGGCTACTGTATTTCATGATATTTCCAATAAAAATTAAAAGCCAGGGCTGAACGTCACGTTTTTTTCTATGCATCGCATTAAATATACACTGCTTGTTTCAACATGTCATTTTTGGCTGGGTACAAAGATATTTGACAGCAACAAGATGTGCAGAAAAACCGGAGGGGATAACTACCTAATAAATGAGTATTCAACTGCTAGTGCTGCTATTAATTGTTTAAAATTAGAAACAATATAAAATGTTCTCATAAATAGCTGCTGGGTGAGGTAAGAAATGGTTTGTGAACAGGCTAGCTAATTTTTAAATATATTTTTGGATCCAGAGTTTATGCTTTGTCTAGACTATTTTTGTCAAGGATCATAATAATAATGCTTTAAACGTATTTTGACTCATAAGTAAAACTTCAACAAAGCACGTCCCAAGCCAAGTATAATCATCACATTCCTCTGCGCAGAACTTGACACAGGGCAGCATAAACCATCTTGAGAAATGGCAGTGGCGGAGGCCAGTGAAAACCACACACGAACAGCAGGCAGGACAGCAGTCACTGTACTCAAAGATGTATGAGCATTTTCATCCTAACCCAGTCATTACTGGTTCCAAAATACCCAGTTTTAGGCTAAAATTTCTAGAGATGGATTGTTTTGGATTTTTTTTTTTTTTAGAATAAACAAAAAAAAAGCCTTTCGGGGAGAGACAGGGAGGAGAAAGATCTATACCTAATACTTACAAATACCAGTATCAATAGCTACAAATAATTCACGTTTTCCCTTCTTAAGGGAAGATTTCCTCAACACTCACATGCATGCATTTTTCTCTTAAATAGCTTTAGGTCCCTCTAAACAGCATGAAAGAAGAGAAAGAAGGTTTTTACCTCGTTTTTCAGACTTGGGGAACTCCCAGTGCTGGCTGCACTGAAGTCACCGCCCCAGCTAAGCCTTGGCTAATTATAGATCTATCAACCTCAGTTTTGGGGCCGATTTTTCAGCTAGCACGAAGCTCCCTGCTGCTGTGTCTAGAAGTCAGTTCTTGAGCAGATAAGCCTAAAGCTATCTCAGATATGTCTATCCTACAGCAGAGCCATAAAACCGCAAGGTAGACATAGCCAGCAATCGAAGGAACGTATGATTTGCGTATCTCAGAAGTCCACAAGGAGGCATACGGCATGCTGTTACCGCTGAAAATCACTGTACAGCTAATTCACCTGACATACTATCTTGTGAAGGTGGTAAAGTCAATGAGACAGGCCTTCCCCCACTCTCTACTCAAGATGTAATCACTCGACTAGAAAGGAAACGTGTGTTCCTGTTTGTCACATAGAATCAAAGGATTTTATTGTGCAGCCAAAAGGAACAAAAACTCTCTTAGAGGGGGAAAAAAACCCACCCTACTAAAGAGAGAGAAGGGAACAGAGAGAAACCCATAGTTGTTACTGGATTAACTGATAAATTCAAAGCAAAATGGAGATCAAATTGGTATTAAGGGAGAGTTGTGGAAAAGGCTATAAGCTAAAGAAGAGAGACTGAGCAACCAGAGGAAAATAAAAATCCCATGACAAATCTGAAACGAGATTTAGTGATATGGCAAAGCAAACAACATGCCTATCTCAGTGCCCAAAGACTACATCGCTGTGTATGTGCTGCAAAAATCATGCCAAAACATAGACAGCCCTCTGGGTTTCACAGAAGGGCTATGCCAAGTGCTCTGGAGCCAGGCATGAGGATTACACAGGCGCCCGACCCTTTCCTCCATAATTTCCTTTCACAGCAAGATGGGCTTGGGAGGGCAGAACAGGGAAGGGGAACAGAGGAATGAAACAATACTGAATGCCCTTCTGAGGAACGTGACTGGTATCTCTCCTAGCCCTCCAAGGCCAAAATATGCAATGCAGCAGGTGAGGAAGACCATAAAAAGAAATTACTTTAAATCTATCACTCTTGAGGGAAAGCAAAATGTGAGAGTACCCCTGCTAGAGAAAAATAACTTTTTCTACGACCAGGAGTTTTAGAAATGTCTCATATAAACAGCTTGCTCAACAATAAAATTTGAAAAAGATTTTCTGCAAAACATGGGCGTCTTCAGGACTAAAATGTGGGGCACCTACACAAATGACTACATCCAGCCTCCAAATTTACCCAAAACACTTTGGCCATTTGGAAATCCTCCTACCTTCTAGTTTAAAACCACCTTCCTCCTGGTACTCGTTTTTCACCACCTCTCTTATGCAAGCTCATTCGTTCCTTGTTTCCACAGCTTCCACACACATACACAGAGGCAAGAAAAAGACCAGAGGCATTCGAGACAGCACTGTGCTAACTACAGGCCTCTTACCAGGTTCAAACAGATCATTGCTGCAGATTTATTAAACTTAAGTGATTAACATTTCATTTTATGCTCGATACATTTAAACACAACCCTTC